ATTTGATTGACAGATGACCGTTGATATATGATTGGCTGAATTTAGGTGTTCAGGCTGACGTTTTTTAAATAGACATTTTCTAACTTTTGAGACATTGAGTACATTTATATACATGTTTAAGGCAGAAATGTTAGTTATTCATATGTTGGTTATTTGTTCATATTCTCAGGATGCAAATCAAAGTAGTATTTATACTGACCAGAGTTCTCCTGGCCTTCATCAGGGTGACGGTGATTCCATCCACCGTGACGTAGAGCTTCCTCAGGTAGGACACGCCCGGCGCACCCCGCTCTTCATTCTTTGCCTCCACAGAGAACCAAGGACCTGCACCGACACCAAAGCCACATAATAACCTACTCAACTTGGTTCTATTTCCTGTAGATCTGTTCACTATTTGATTCATTTTATCACATTTACATTTTGTTGCTAAGAAATTATTTTTAGTGACTTCATATATACACATTATCTTTTTGTCCAGTTGCATTTTTTGCAATTTAAAAAAGATTCAAATGCATAAAAAATATTCTATATATTTAAAACATGTTCCATAGAAACTCACCATGAATTTATAATAAAACATTACACATTTGGAATTGTTTTTCAGTTATTTTAAGAATACTATGTGGTTTGAATGTCCTTCATCCGCGACTCTTCTCTAAAAATCTTTACAATGACTTATATATGACATAACCCAGTTTCATTCTTTAACATTTAAAGATTGCCCTTTCTATTAAAATCATAATTTTCATACACATTTAGTTTGATGATTTCCATCTCATGAAATGTCATGTGGCGTTTCCCTAAAATATTTACAGAAGCGTAATGCATTCACCAAAAAAAAAAAAAAAAAAATCAGACTGCTTATCTCATAATTAGATTAGATAACAATCTCGTAATTATGAGATAAGCTGTCTGATATTTTTTCTTCGGTGAATACAATATGCTTCTGTAAATGATCACCGCCTTAGGTCTTTTATTTTAACAGAACTCCAAGGACAGGAAGTTGCATCATACAGGAGAGCACATGCACAGCAGCTAGCAGGTTTGTTACTTTCTCTCAACTTCTGACACACGGTTTGAGTTTCGTAAGGTTTCACCATGTGGTGTGACCTTAAAACAACAACTAATATTAGGTGTTTAACAAATATAGATTTTTATAATACATTTATACAGTAATGTTTTGCGTAGATGCTAATTCTTAGCCACTTAGCAATGATTTTCATTGGAAATTTCATGTGGGAAAACTAACGATCATCAGAGAGCTTTTCATGAAAACATGAACTTCAGCTACTGAAAGTTTTCAGGAATTGCTGCAAAGTTTAATTAGCCATAAACACGGCTTTTTCGCGCAGGCGCATACCTGTGTTGTTCTTGCATGTTCTGGCCAGTGTGTAAGTGCAGGTTCCCATAAAGCTGTAGTACTTCTTGTCAAAAGTATTGTAGTGAGGATCCCCTGAAACAACGCAGTCCTGGAAGCCTGAAAAAGAACAACAAAAAACCTTAAAACACATTCAAAGCTCAAAGAACTGATTAGTAAAGCATTAAGAGGATAGACGCACTAGTCCCTCACATCATGACCTACAAATTAGTGACATATGTGCTGTATTCAACACTTACTAGAAGGATAGCAGCCTAATTCTCCATCCTGGACTTTGCACTCGTGCTTTGGAGGACACTCAGAGGCTTCACAGGTGACATTGGGTGAATCACACCTGCACTTCAGCTTACAGTCGTCCAAATAAAACTCCTCTTCAGGCTGAAATGAAGAAAACATTCTGGAAAATCAACTTTTCTACTTCTTTAATATGCAAAATGTATAGAAGCAGATAAAATCAAATGATTATTATATTGATACATTAGCTTTAAATTAAAAGTTACACATTTATATACCTCGTAATACTGGCCATTGGTGTGAGTACAGCCACAGGTATTCTTCGGGACACATTTGCCAGCACTTAGAACGTAACCAGGATCGCACACACACCCCTCAGAGCATGGTCCACCACACGAGGGAGGTTTTCCAGAGCAGGTCTCTGGACAGGGGTCAGCACAGGGCTCAAAATGGCTGTTGGACGGGCAATTTAGTGCTAGAAATGGGAAATCCAGCAAATGTCAGTGATGGGGCCCAAACAAGATTAGAAATGCAGTACAGATCTCATAAGAAACATGAAGATACTTTCTTGACAAGTATTCATCTTTAGACGTTACAATACAAATCACAGCTAGTGTTTTATAGCTAGCAGCATTTGGTTAAGTAGCTCTGTGTTAAAATTTTTTCATAATTATATTTTGCGTATATTTCAAAAATTCAGATGAAATGAAAGCTCTTTATAACCCTGTCACAGCTTGCTGATTTATCAAGCGTGTACCTGACGTCCCAGAATCTCCTAAAACGTTGGCCTAAGACGCTGAACTTTCTATGGATTTTTTCCATTTTTGGCGTAAACATAGAGTATTCATAACGAGCCCAGAACTTATGCATAACGCACGGCAGCGTAACGCCCATGAAATGATGGGCAAAGTCTGCTGTTTCCTCTGTAATGGGGTTGGGGTTGTGATGATAGCGGGAAGGAATCAACTCAATTGCTGAATTATAGGTTTTTGAAAGCTGAAATCTGAACCCACCCCCCGCACTTTATTCTTTCCTGCTATCTTCGCTACCCCCACCCCTTTACAGGGTAACAGAAGACCTCGCCTATTTAGCCAGGCCAACAACTCTCTTTAACAACCCCCCTTTGAGAGACATAGACAGGCTAACAAAGAAGCCAAACGACCCCCATTCCAAAGGG